GGGGGCCCGGCGGGGGGGCGCCCCGCTGCCGGGGGGTTGCGCGGCGGGCGGCGGCGGGCCCGCCAGTCAGCCCGGGTTGTACGAACGCCCTTCCCGAGCGCGCCTGCGGCGCTGGAAACCCGAGCCGAAGCTGCTGCCAGCGCGACGAGGTCTCGGCAGAGGCTTTCCAGCCCACCGCCTTTCTCGCAAGTGCTTTGGGTGTTCTTGTGGACCTTTTGTTTAACCAAGGCATCTCTAGATCTATTTTTTTTCTTTATACCTTAACTGTTTTGAAGTTGTTTGCCCAGACGCTAAATTTTGTATTCTGTCTTCTTTGAAGTTTCTCTTGCAGTCTTTCTCGTAGCAGGTCTGGTTGGCTACTTTCCTTTTTAACCCACAGTTTGCTTAACTTTCTTCAGCGTAGATGTGTACACTGAAGTGGTAAAGCTTTTGTTGGACGGCCTTTTAGTATTTCTGCCTATGAAACTATATTATGGATTGTGGAAATGAAAGCATTTCCCTCAACTTCTCCAACTGTGAGCAAAATCTCAAAAAAAAAAAAATCCTGAAAAAAACAGCAGATAAATTGTTTTGCCTAAATAAAAGTTATTTCAAGAGTTGCCTTGCTCTTATTTTTGCTTCGGATTTTCTTTAGTCAAAACTGTTCCAGATCCCATGCTGAAAACTTAGTCCTTTCTAGACACGATGAAAACAGTTTTAGGACAGACTAGCTTTGAACCTTCAAAACTACGTGTGGTTCATAGGAGTCTGAATAATTACATTTCCTCAAAGCAGCTGACATATTTTGGGTATGTGGAGTTGTTTATTTTTCATATTTACAGGGATCCAAATTGGTTAGTTTTGGTTGTACTGTCCATTGAGAAGCAATCCAGGTTTATGCTTATCATGATCTCTGCGTAAATCTCTTACTTTCTAGTCTCACAGTGATCTACGCATTTCATGTACCGGCACGTGAGATTTGGCGCTATGTTAATATATTAATGCTATTATTTTATTATTTTTGCAGCGTGTTCTTCTTCTTGTTGCTTCAGATGTTGATGCGTTATGTGCTTGTAAAATACTCCAAGTAAGTCTTTGTTCATTGTCACTGTAGGCTAACAGTAAAAGAAAAAATGCCCTGGGATCCTTTTAATAGGTTTGAACTGGGGAAAGGGTGAAGATTTAATCTGCTTTTGTAACTTGTTTTTTCCGTGAGTTATGACACTGAAAACTGGTAAGTCATACTCCCAAAGTTCATGTAGATTTGTCATTTGGGATGTCTTTAAGGTAAAGATGTGTATGAAATAGAATTACAGCATGGTATAGCATTGTAGAAGAGGTTTCCCCTCACCTTTGCTAACAGCCGTTTCCTTCGTTTCAGGCTTTGTTTCAATGTGATCATGTGCAGTATACACTCGTCCCAGTATCTGGGTGGCAAGAACTTGAAACTGCCTTTCTTGAGCATAAAGATCAGGTGAAAAAATACTGGAAACTTTTAAAGTTGCAGCTCATCTTATATAGACATGCACTTTTTCCCTTTCCCCAGCTTAAAATGTCAGCTCTTTAATTATTATTATTGATTACCTCAAAACAGTGGTTAAATTTTAACATACCAGTAACAAACTTGCCAACTTTCTTACATCAGCTCAAACTAATATGGTATAATTTTGATAGAGTCAAATTAAGTTTGCACACCTTTTGAGATCTAAAAGGTGGTAGTAGTGGATGTCCAACATCCCTGAATTTGGGGTTTTGTCTTACAAATTTTTTTCCTCCTCAGAGACATCAAATATCAGAAAGTAAATACAAGTTTTGGCAACAATGAGTGCTTTGGAGGTTTTGTAAAGGTGTTTTCAGTCTTCCATGTTTCCTCCTAATTGAAGTAAAAAGCTTTTTTTTTTTTTTTTCCCTCCTTTGCTTTTGTTTGCAGTTCAAATATTTTGTTCTTATTAATTGTGGTGCCAACGTTGACCTTCTGGAGATCTTGCAGCCTGAAGAAGACACTTTTTTTTTTGTATGTGACAGCCACAGACCTATCAATGTAGTGAATGTTTACAATGACACACAGGTAAGTGCTTTTCTTTCATAATAATCATCTGCGTTTTCTGTGTTTTGCTGAACTGCTTACAGTGTTAGCTAGTAGGTGAGGAAGCAGTATTAATGGATATTTGCAGTAGTAATGTACGTGATCAGAAAAAAATCTGTCTTCAGTAATAAAATATATACCATTAGCAGCGTGATAGTTGTCAGTAGTAAGCACCTGTTAATCATGTTGCTATAAATCAAACTGCTACAAATCAGAGGATAAACAGCCTCCAAAATGTAACATGTATTATCTCTCAGCAGCTAGCAACACCTAGAATTTGAGTATTAAGCACAAATTATTTGACAACATGACTTCAACAAGCGTAAAAAATAATTCTTTCAGTAATGCTGTAACAAAGGAATAAATTTTTTACTGTTATTTTGTATAAATAGGTATGGTCTTGCATTAAAAAGCAATATTTTTGTTATGTCAGGAATCGATCACAGCCAAAATGAATTTTTAGTTTCTCTTACGAAGTATCTGAAGTATTCTCATTTGTCATTTGAAATGCGTTTTAATCACTAAATAAGATACTTTAATACGTTTGTTTTTCTTGCTAGATTAAGCTGTTAGTTAAACAAGATGATGATCTCGATGTTCCTGCTTATGATGATATCTTCAGAGATGAAGAGGATGAAGAAGAGGACTCAGAGAATGAAAGTGACGGGTCAGAACCTACAGAGAAACGCAGGCGTTTCGAAGAGGTGTGTTTCTGCTGCTTTGTTGTGAAAAGAAGGAAAATAAAACAGCTATTACATATACTTTACATCATCATCATAATGACATTTGAGTTTAAAAATTATGTTCCATTAGATCACAAATTCAAGTGTAGGATTTAAAAATAATCTACTACAACCAATAGAGTTTCACATACACAAAATGTTTATTTATGTGAACTGCACAGAAATATTTTCTCCTTGTAAAAAAACATGTTTTGAACTTGATTATGAATAATGCTCTCTTTGTATAAAGAGATTTATGTCTGATTATGTGCTCTGGGCTTTTCAGTCTAGCAAAACAATTTATTTAGACATAAATGTCTTTTTTTAAATAATTGTTTGAGGAGATAGAAGCTCACAAATAATTTAGCAATACGTTTTGTCTGTCCTTGTAGCAGTAAACTAACAGAAGTGTATTATGGTAGACACAAACGATTAAATTTGCCAAACAATTAAATTTGTAGCGTATTTTCTATTTGTACCATACAAGGAAGCAAAGGCACAAGGCTAGTAATATTAAGGAACAATTAAATGTTAAGACATTCTCAGATTTAATATATATTTCATATTAATTTTCTATTAATATTGTACATTTTTTCCTACTAATCTACAAAGGGCCCTAACTCAGCAAAACCAGATATCAGAAATTCAAAGGAAAATCTGTAAATAGTGTGCACAAAAGCTATTTTTCAAACCTTGAACATTCACAAATACCTTTTTGATTTCTTTGAGTTTTCAAGCTGATGATGCCATTTATGGAGCTTAACTATACAGTGAGTGCCTCTTTTTCTGAGCTTCATTAATTATCTTGTCTTTATTTTTCATCAGTGTCATTCTTATGTTATAAAATGGTAGGATGCAATGCTGCCAGTGTTGAAAATACTGTGTTTTGGACCTTTTTATTTGTTAAGAACGTTAAGAACGTGCTAAATAAATGCTAGCACAGATAATACTTTTCTTATTAGATGTTGTTAATAGGAATAATTCTTATTTCTAATGAAGACTTAGTCATTAAAGTATCTGGATAGGTGCTGATCCGCTAGAGTATTTTTTCTAGCTTTTTAACATTCAAATTAATTTACAGGATGTCATAGAGAGAACAATGAAAAGACGACAAAGGCGAGAATGGGAGGCACGCAGGTCTGTAACTTTATGTTGCTTGTATCTCTTTTTCTTTATCTTATTTGATTAAAATCTTGTTGAGAATACAGAAACATGATACTATGCTGCTTGATTTGCAAGATGCTTTAGTTCTAACTTTATTCAGAAAGTAGAGAGAGAGATTTACTATATAAAAATAAAACATTTAAGTGGAGGATAGTTATAAACAGTAATTTATAAATTTGAGTAGCAATGGGTGCATTGCTTCACTTTTAAGTCGCTGTAGTATTCTGATCTTGTCTGTCTTAGGGTGAAATTTGTGCTTCTGTTTTCTTCCTTTACAATCCCACTACTGTCAATAGGAATGAGCTGGAACAAATCCAATAAGAAAATGGGATTTGAGGAATAATGATTTAATACATTTTTCCTTTTTTATGAGTACATTTCAGTGTGGTTTCCACATTGCTACTAAAATCTCATTGCCTTGCCGAAAAACAATTTCTAGCCCAAGTTTAATTTTTTTTAATTGCTAAAATGAAATTTGAATATTATTTTACAATTCCTGTCTTATATTTTTAATTGGATCCAATGACCAGTTCCCCACTTAGTCAAATGAGGATTTTTTTCCCTTTTTAGACGAGAAATTCTTTTTGATTATGAGCAATATGAATACCATGGGACCTCGGTAAGTATAAACTCGTTTGCCAGAAAAACACAAGGTGCCAATGTAAAGGTAATTGGACAATATATAGTGTTATAATAATCTAATACAATGTTATAATTGCCTAATAATACTATGCATTATAATAATATTGTTGTATCTTGTTACTTTTATGTCTTATTATCTATAAGATACGTCGTAGATGTACAAGTAGTTTGACATAGCAGTTTAATGCTTTCTGGTTGTGTACGTTCAATTTTACCATTAATTAACTAGATACATCATAGAAACGATACTGGTAGGCTGGCAGACACCAGCCGACTGAGTCACAGTGGCTAATGTAATGTTAACAGTGGTGGGAAATGATAAACCAGAACTATTATAATTTTTGTTGTTTGATATCTTTAATGCTGGCATAAAAAAAAATTATGATAGTGGAATTTTTTTAGGTCTTGACAAAAGTATCTACCTCTGCACAAAATACCCTTGCAAAAAGACACTAGCATGTAGGCAGCTTGTTTGCCTTTCGAAGTTTTCAAAGTGTCAGGATATTTCAAACTTAACACTTAGGACATCAAACTGTTCCTTCTGTCATTTGGCCTCTTGTCTGATTATTTCTATATTTTAAGTGCTGCTTTATATATAATGCAGGTTTGCAGAGCTGTATAAAATATTTTTCCGCCTACTTAGTATCTTAGAAGTTACGACACTGGCAGATTGTCAGACTCCAGTGTGATTTCTAGAGCTTTAGTAACATGCTAGTACTTGGCAAATTTACCCGTGTTCTGTTTGTTTAATGAAGTGACAGTTCTGTGTTCATTTATCCTCTCTTTTTGCTTTTCCCTCGTACAGTCTGCGATGGTGATGTTTGATCTGGCATGGATAATGTCTAAAGACTTGAACGACATGTTGTGGTATGGTTCCATCAACATTTTTCATAGAGGCTAGAAGCTTAATCCCATAGTAAAGAGAGGCAAGATTTCCCAAAACTGTTTGATTTCAGTATAAAGTTTCAGTTTATTTCGTGAGTGGATGTATGTCTTGAACTGGAGGACACATCTGTGTAAATTAATTACCAGCAACCAATAGATTTTTGCGCTGAAAAAGGGAGGATGGCACTATATGTGTATGTCTGCTACAGGGGGAATAGTAGCATATAGCTTTGTTCTTAACGTCTATACAGTTGGTGAACAGTGTTTCTGACTTGTTCTGTTACATACTTAGAGAGTTAAATACAATATACTGTACTGGAATATTTTTTGGTTTAACATTTTTTTTTCCTTTTCTTCCCCCCCCCCCCCCAATTTTAGGTGGGCTATTGTTGGCCTAACAGATCAATGGGTCCAAGATAAAATCACTCAGTAAGAAAGATTTTTTTTTAATTTATCCTTACTATTATTTTTAATTTATCTATCTTTTAATTGTTTTTAGGAGTAACTAATAGCAATTAACAGAGATCAGAAAATGTGGGAATTAATGTAATACAAGATAATTAATAAACAGTGACATTAAATATCTTAATAACAATGTGATCTGATGCCTTCCAAAAATGGGAATATACATCAGAAAAAAATGCATTTTCCTTTTCTACTATTCAGAATTATTAAACTAACTGTATTTTTCACAAAATTATACAACAATCACTTCTGATCCGGGAAGAAATGCTGTTTAATAGTAGTTTATGGAAATATGACCCTGATACAGTTTTATTAAAGGAAAAAAAAAATTGTATGTTCTGTATCCTCCAGCTTCCTTTCCAGTCTTAGTTAATGAGTTTCAGATTTCTCTTTTTTTTTTCTTCTTTGTTTTTATTTCCTACTAGATACCTTCAGAATTCTAGTAGTGCATACGTAGACTTTAATTCTGGTATTCTAGTGTTACTAATACACTGATGTTTTTAAGGAGATAGATGTAATAAGTAAGTAATTTCATTGGTCGGTCTATCTGTCTCTCTGTATTGGTTTTATTGTAGCTTTAGTTCCTCAGGTGTATGGCTGAATATTGAAAGTACATTATTTAATATGTTAGTTTGCCTTTTTTTTTTTTTTTTTGGGTTTTTTTTGCGGTTTTCACCTTGCGGATTGGCCAATGTAATTTTAAAATTTTTTTTTTTATTTTTTTTTTTTTTTTTTTTTTTTTTTTTTTTTTTTTTTTTTTTTTTTTGAGATCTATCTGCAGTTTTCACGCTGCTGACTGGCCAATGTGTAATCTTTAGGAAGCATTTTTGTGTTCTCATGATCAAGTACAAAAATACACAGGAAGAAAGCGAAGTAACAAATGTGGTTTTGTTTAAGAATGAAGTATGTGACTGATATTGGAATCCTGCAGCGTCACGTGTCTCGCCATAACCACCGCAACGAGGATGAGGAAAATTCTCTGTCAATTGATTGCATGCGAATAGCATTTGAATACGAGTATCCTTGCATAAGATCTGGGGAAAAGGAACTCTGCCCACCTGGTGAACCTCAGTTGAGTTTTTATCCAGGGAAACAAAATCCCAGCACCATCTCTGCTGCTGAAAATGGAATTAAAAGAAATGGAGATTTGAATGTTTTGTTGAACATGAATCCCTCTTTCAGTAGCTCGTGTAGCCTCAGTTCAGCTTAACCTTTCAGAATTAGTTACAAGTCAATGTTGCTCATCTTGTGTTACACGCACCTGCAGCTTCTAACTGTACCTTATGTAGTAGAGAGATGCAATATATAAGGGCAACTGAAGACTTACCTACCAGTTGTGGAGTTTTGTTACTATTTGTAACTTCAAATGATGTATGTGTTCATAATTATTTCCCATAATTCCTGTTCAGTCTGCGCCTGGCACTTTATCAGCACTGGTCACTATATGAAAGTCTCTGTAACACTTCATATACCTCTGCTAGCCTTAAGCTTTGGTCCGTACAAGGGCAGAAGAGGCTCCAGGAGTTTTTGGCTGACATGGGGTGAGTTATAAAACTCTGAGTCTTGATTAAAGGATAATTTTTTCAATGAATTATGGAAAAATATTGATAATACATCTTGCGAGTACTCAACTAGTTAGTTTTTAAATATGATTGTGGGGCTCTGCGTAGGTTGCAGTGTCTCTGTGAGTTGTTATGCAGCTTGTGTCCTGGCGTACGAGGAATGCTTCAGCTGTATGCCTTTATGGAGTAGCAGATTAGTAATTAACCTATGCTTTCTCACATCCATTTTTCAATGACTCAAGAAAAAAGAACACAAACAAGCTTAGTCACACTTAACTTGCTACATTATCTAATATGAAGAAAGCCTTATGAAAGGAAGGCAAAATACTTGTTTCTTCTGGCATACCTATCAATGTATTTTTTCCTTCTCAGTTTGCCTTTGAAGCAAGTGAAACAGAAGTTTAATTCCATGGACATGTCTTTGAAAGAAAATCTTCGGGAAATGATTGAAGAATCTGCAAACAAGTTTGGGTACATTGTTTTAAATACAAATGCTTTATCTGAAAGTACTTTTCAATTACGTTGAAATATTTTTGTATGAAGAGGATGTAACAGCTTGTTTTAAAAAATATGTTTTTTAGATTGACAAAGTAATACTAGGCTCATTGCAAATGTTAGGATATGATTTGTCTTCATGTTCTTAACATTAACATGCTGAGGAGATGGCTGGTCAATGTTGATAATAATGCTGATAATGTTAATAATCTGTACTGGTTTTACCTCATTTTGCAGAATGAAAGATTTAAGAGTTCAGACCTTCAGCATTCACTTTGGCTTTAAGAACAAGTTCTCAGCAAGTGATATAGTTTATGCAACAGCTTCTCTCATGGAGAATATAGAGAAAGAGGGACCCGAAACAACTAATTTCATTAAAGCTTTGGACAGTCTCTCCAGGTGCTGAAAATATGTCTCTTCCTTTTACAGTTTTATTTAGGGAACGTGGGTTACGTATCTAAAAGATGCATTGATGCTTTGTAAGCCATTGAAAAATAAAAATATTGCTGTGAATCGTGTTCAGAGAGGTCTCACTTTTGTGTGAAAAACTTCAGTTTTATATGAAAGTGTTTATTATTTTTATTCTTTCTGTTGCAGGGGTAACCTGGACAAACTGCACCAAGGGCTGGACCTAGCCAAAAAGCAGTTACGTGCCATTCAGCAGACAGTAGCCAGCTGTATTTGCACCAACCTTGTAATTTCTCAGGGGCCTTTTCTCTATTGCTCGCTCATGGAGGTCAGAATTCTAATTTTTGGCTGTCTCGTTTGACTGTCATGTTTGGCTGTCTCATAGTCGAATAACACTGTTTTCTTAACTGCTTGACTCAGTAAGAATGACTCTGCCAGAAAGAACCTTGTATCTATACTGTGCTGTCCTCCGCTGGGTCAGTGTTGACATCTGCTCTGACCTTCCCAAAGGAAGAATCAGTCCTCTCAGAGGGGGGAGGGCTTCAGATCCAAGTCAAGTGGGTGAGATCAAACTCCGGTATTGTAATGGTTCTTGATAGTGTTCTCTGAGCCACGCAAAATGTTTAGACATGTCAGTAGATATTAAAATTAAGTAAATCATCTTGGATTGTAATTGAAATAATTCTTCTTTTCCTAGGGCACACCAGACGTGAAACTGTTTTCCAAACCAGTGTCTCTGTGCCTGCTTAGTAAATACTTACTCAAATCATTTGTTTGCTCTGTAAGTAAATCAAAAGCTTTTGACTAACTAACTTCTGGCCTGTGTAGTTATTATTCTTCTGTTGGATACTTGCAGTTGATTTATTAAAAATATATGAAAATCTTAATAATGTTTTTCTGCTAATTAGTTGGATAATTTTAGCACATCTGTGAATGCTGCTCTAGGAAAAATATCTGCCTGGGAGACTTCCTAGCATTAGAAAGAGTTTTCATTACTAAGATACTTTACAATCTAAAATCTTTGTGTAATTTTGTACGTTTTGAGGGAGCATATCACTAAATATGGACTTCGGAAAGTTAACCTGACACAAAAACAAGCAGTATTGCAGGACTGGTGATTGTTACCTGAAGATTTCTGTGTCTGTTTAAATAAAATCCTCTGATCTTTACAACTAATGTAACTGAAATTAAATTGCATTTATCTTTTGAGCTTTTAGTTACACAATTCGGATAAAAATGAGGTTTTAAGATTGAGAACTGTCTTCACAGTAAGCACTTCCTAATTTGTAAATGTAATTTATGGTGGTCCATCCTCATCAGATTGCATCTGTCTGTCCTCGTTTTGAAAGTTAGACAGGGTGAATAACTAGTCTGCCACTAGGAGCAGGACAGCATCTTTAAAACTCACTGCAAAACGTTTACCTTAAGAGCAGAACGCTTTAAACAAACCTGTTTCATTTACTTAAGTGTCTAAAAATGTTAAAATCTTCATAATTATTTTTTGATTTAATTCAATGACAAAATTTGTTGAAGTTACAGCTCACTGCTATAAAACAATATGACAGGGGAAAATAATTTCTAGGGAAGACTGTGTTTGTCAAAGTTTTATCTGTTGTGTTTCCATGTAAAATTATTATTGCAAAAAATTAAGCCCAGTGAAAGTTTTTAGATACCCATACCTTTTTTAGATAACCATACCCATGGTTTTTTTAAGAGCTTTTTTCTTTACTGTAAATCATATCTTGTCTGTCTATATCATTTCTGTGTTAAAATGAAATGCAAGATCAGAGAAGAACTGAAATTTCTATTGGTCTGTAAAGTGACTTACTGTAAGAAAGAAGGGGATTAAGAGATTATGTAAAGAAACCACCTTCTGTGAAACTGCATTATAGCTGTATCCTTAGGTGAATATTTGTAATACTAGCTCACATGGAGAGCTGAAACTAAATTGTTTCCTGAGTTTTGTCTAACAAAGAGGCTTTCTGACTTCCAGACGAAAAACAAGCGTTGTAAATTGCTGCCACTGATAATGGCTGCACCAATGGATGTTGAACAGGGAACTGTGATCATGGTGGGGATTCCTCCGGAGACAGAAAGCTCTGACAAAAAGAAGTAAGCATATTGTTTAAAAGTTCTTACTAAAGGTTATCTATAGAGTTTTCGTGGCTCGGAAGGAAACATATCTTTCCTGTACCTATTTAACACTATGTTGACTTGAATTGTATCCTTCTCTAGAAACACGCTTTTTGTACATAGTATGCCTGAGATACTTTGAGAGAGGATACAGATGTTCCCCAGCTTCCTTGCAAGTTTTTTTGCCTTCCCTCTTAACTATTTCTTTGTCTCTAAAAGAGGGCAATAGTTCACTATATGACCCATGACTTCATTTCTTAAAGCCTGCCATGTTAAGATTTTTGCACTTGAGTAAGTGAGGTGTCTGTTGAATACATGGCACGTGAAAAACACCTGGAAGACATTTTCAGCTCTCAATAAGGAGAAAGTTCCATACTTCTACCTTAGTAAATGTATCCTTTTCTGTAACGCTCATACGTATTTCTGTTCGTCTTCTAGCTTTTTTGGAAGAGCATTTGAGAAAGCTGCAGACAGTACCAATTCTAGGACTTTACACAACCATTTCGACATGTCAAGTGAGTAATGCTACCGCTTATTTCATTCACCAGAGAGTCCTTTAGGGGTCAGTGTTTACGCAGCCTCCGTAAAGCATAACGACGGTATGTGTATGCCTTAGATGGTGTGTATGTGATACACTATTCCTGAGTCTAGCATAAACACAAACCACATTATTTGTCAATCTTTGTCTAAGTTCTATCTTGTTGTGCAGAAATTAGAAACTACTAAGCAGAGGCTTGTGTATCTTTTTGAGACGATCTACATTTTGCATGGAGTAATGATTTTCATATGTGCGCTTCAGTTTAAAATCTGTGAGGTTATCTGTGAGGGTTTTTATATTTAGCAGCCAAACCAAGTATAGTATTCATGTTACAAGACGCATTCTTTATTGTCTGTTTGAAAAACGAGATAGGCAAATCCTGTTGCATAACTGTCTTTGTATATGCTTACAAAAGAGGCAGTTTTTAATAATACATACTTATATACGCGTGTGGAACACACAAAGAAGCATTCCTAGATTTAAAAAGTGGCAGCTATATCATGTAGTGAGCACCTAGAAATCCGACTTTGCTGAAATCTATGAGCAAAATAAACGATGTGCTTTGCCTTTTGTCCAAATAAATAGGTTCTTTTTCCTTCTTAAAGTTGATTATGAATATAAATAAGTATACCTGGAATTTAATATTCTTCAAGTGTGACATCTAGTATATCTTTCAGTTATTTGCATCTTGTAATAAAATATTTCATATTTTAGTAATTGAATTGAAAACAGAAGACCGGAGCAAATTTCTGGATGCACTCATTTCTCTCTTGTCCTAATGGTAAGACAGTGTAAGGAGGATTAATTAAGAAATTAATTACAAATCAAGCTAGTAACCAAATGACATTCGTAGATTATCTGTCAAATGTTCTAAGAAAATGCGGCAACTTCTAGTGAAAATATAAATTGAAGATAAGAGTTTCTTACAATAGTTTTTTGGGGGGGAGGAGACAGACAATGTACAAGCGGAATATTTTTTTTTCTCCTGAGGAGATTTATTTAAGTTTCATCATCCATAAGCTTCTCTTCCATTGTTCTTAACTTTTTGTGGCTTCTTAACTTCAGCTGGAAAAGGAGCAGCTGTTTGTGTTGTGACAGAAAGGGAGATATTAGCTAATTGTAGTTGATACTCTGGTACCGACTTCTTCTTTTAATTCTGATGGCTTGTTTGAGCTCAGGATGGAGCCTTGGCCATAGCAGTGTCGTTCTTGGCTTTGACATTAACGTGGAATTTGCATTTTTCTTTCACAGTGTTAAGGTTGTAGCCTATGTTAGGGTGTAGTTTTTATCTGGAATAAAGACGGGGATATAAGTCGTCATTTGTAGTTGTGACTGCTAGCTTCACACTAGTTCAAAGTCTGTTTTAAAGCTACCTTAGGGCAAGACAGATTTTACTGTAGATCTGATGAGACTGTCAAATTGTCACAATTGCCGTCAAATCTTCACTGCTTTTCAATGATGAACTATTTTTATTGGTTTGTGTGTGCATTTATTCTGCAGCGATGGGTGGGGATAGCTTGCTTTCTCCCAGAGAAGAAGCCAAACGCTAAATTGTTTTGTAAAGACTGTTTAGACAGCCTGTAAGACTGTTTGAAAGTATATAAAGCACCTCGTGGCTTCTTCATGCCTACATAAAGATTTGGTCTTTAGTATTAACATGTGAAGTAGTCTCAGAAGATTATCTTTACGGTGTACATAGGAAAGCAAAGGAGTAAGATGAAGACTTTAACAACAGCCTGTGAATGTTGGTAGTCCTAGACAAATGACAATATGACTTACATTTTTCAATGGGTATCAAAGCTACAATTTCTTTTTTCTTCTGTTCACTCATAAGTTTGAAACAGTGGGTCAACAGCTGCAGTTGTTGTTTGTTAGACAGCGTAGTCAGGCACGGCTTCCAAGATTTCTATGCCTGTTTATTTCTTTCGTTACACTGTGACTACTGATTGTTTCAGTTTGTCTTCTGCCCTTGTTATACAGTGGTGCTTTTTGGCTCCTTGTGCTGGAAGCTGAGGATCAGATGCTCTGAAATTATTTCGGATGTTCCAAAGGTCATGGTGCTGCAATTGTGACGTATCGTCTTGCTTTCTCTTAAATGTACCGGTACAGGCCTGGACTGTTGTTCTTATGCCTCTTGGGAGGTCAAAAGGATTTTAACCTTCCACACAGATATTGAGCACTGCTTGTTTGTAAAGATCCCGTACTCGTAATGGCAAAAGGTGTCAATTAGGAGTATTTGCCAATTGGACTTCTATTTGTCAAGCCTGCTTTTATTAGTAGACATGCTCCCGTGATGTGTAGCTGTTGGCTAATAACAAAAAAATAGGTTTTGAAGAAGTTCCGTATTTATATTACCGTTATATTACCATTCAAATGTTCTTTTAAAATTGTCTTGTATGCTTGTTGTCTATTTTTTTTATAAGAAACTTCTTGAAACTCTGCTTGAATTTCTAGAATGTTGAAACTGGTTTTTAGTACTATCAGGCTGAGGTCTTTGTAGTTTAATTGAAATAACTGTTTTGTGAGACAAGTTTTAAGATTTTAAGGCTTTTTAAAATCCAAGGACTGAGTAACTGCCAAATACCGAATGAAAAATCTGGGGAATTCCGGTGTCAGTAAAGCATTTTTAGTCATGCATTGTAATACTATATTGTCACTTGTAGCTTGGCTTTGGGAATAATTTTCCTGGAAAGAGTCTAAAATACTAAGATAATTGTGTGTAGACTGTAGCATTATAAATATCGACAGAGTAGCTCAATCCTTTTCCATAATGGAGATTTCATTTCGCTTTGGTCATATGAAATGGTATTGCTTGTTAGACTTACCCTGCTCTGCATTGCGTGGGTATGTATATGTGTATGTTTGGAATTCTTTTTCTTCTTGCAATGTTTGCTTGAATTCTGTGTGACTTCAATATTTTCATGTATTATAATGAACATGTAAAGGTTATGTATCATTATACCCTACTTTGTACAGATTCTTAATACAGGTTAATTTAATATTAAATGTGATTTAAATGTAGCCAACAGAAAGCTAATTAAACTATATATTTTTATTCAAACAGAAGTTTGGGTTGGGTTTTGTTTGGGTTTTTTTTCCAAATATTTTCATCTTATCTGAGTAAAATCCCTGTGCCGAGCTGCAGTGGGCAAAAAGTTGTGCTTCCTAAGATAAACCATAATGCCACCTTTTGGTTTTGCGTGTTTACTAGGTAGTATTGGCAATACAGTAATTTTATTACATTTCTGAGGTAGATTAGTGTGCTTTAAGTCAGGAAATGGAAACACACAAGTTTGTGTTGGTTTTTTTGAACACTGATACCAGTGACAAGCCATGATTACAATGTAAAAGCTAGGAGTCTACGTGATACTGAAGTGCACTTCTAAATATTTTCACTTTATCTTCCAGTTGCAAACTGCTGAGTGAGTCAAGTGAATTTCCTAAATTTATCTTAAACTTACCTGTCACGAAAGAATCGCTGCCATTCCACAGCACTAAATGGCTGGAACTTTAGTTCAGCCCTGTCATATATTTAGGGCTTTCATGCTTCTAGATGGAAATATCAGAGAAAAATATGGGTACGTGTAGCAGTAAATACAATGTGCTTCGGTGTGTGAGACCACCATCATGTGTATGGAATGAATAACGTGTGCTGGGTAAAAGTGAATTTTTACTTGCATGGTCTGCTTGCTCAGTAAAAGGTCTTGCACATCCTGGATCTCTGACTCATGGTTCAGTGGCCCTCTGTCAGGAAATCCTAAACAACCAACTAAATTCCTCATTTTCTCCCTGTACAAAACCTTTAGACAGGGAAGAAAAGTGTTGTGAGGAAAAGCATGGGCACGTAACCTCTCAGTTTCATTACTATCTCTGTCTTTGGTTACATTTAGTGCTATGTTTTCAACACATGGAATAGTTTTGATGGGTACCTTAGCAGGCCGTTACCTTTATCTTCTTGTTTGGGGTTTTGGTTTTCCTGTTTTTTTTCTCCACCCTCTCATTAGAAGCTCCGTGTGAACCCCTTCATCTCACCTCATCTATGCTCTTATTGCTGTTGCATCCCTCGTCCCTCTCCTGGAACTTGAGGTATTTACTCCATTTCCCTTTCAGGGCATGTTTGGGTTCTACTGCCACCACCTTTTCCTGCTGTTGTGATAAATACAGATCTTGCCTTGCAACGAAGAGGGAAGTTGGGGGGTGTGTGTGTGTGTTTGTTTTAGTAGGTGACTGTCATGTAATGAAAAATGAACAAATTTTCAGGCACGTGCACCCTTTAGCTCCAGCATATTGCGTTGTGCTGGGAGGATGAGAAATGGGAGCTAGTTTTTATGCTGGGATGTGTTGGTAATTGCTTTACTGGCAGGTTCTTCGTCCTCCAAACAGATGTGCAAGCTTGAAGCTGTGGATCTGTCACATGGAGAATAAGCTTCCCTCGTCCCTCCTTCACTGCTTTGTGGTTTTTGGTGGGTTTTAAGGTTCTAGTTTTCCCAAGATCTACTGGAGGTGCCAAGAATGCTTTTGCAAATTTTAGAATTGATCAGCTGTTGAACTGATCCCAAGGTCATCCAAATGTGGCCCAAAATCAGTCAGGAATGCTGAATACCATGTAAAAAGAAAGTTATTAAATCTGTGTGGAAACCTGAAGAAGTCTCTACCAATAGGTAAAACTTTTGCATGTCAACATTTCACAATACGCAAAATAGTATCAGACACTCCTTAAATAGTTTATTCTATGCAACAGAGTTTGTAGATGAATATGTTAATATTACTTGGAGAATCATTATACAGGAAAATCCAAAATTGTGGAGTCCCCAGTGTGCAGATATAAAAGTAGCTCAGTTCAGCAGCAGTAAATGGGTGGTTTGAATGGCTCACTGCAGCTCTGTTGTGTAGGCTGGTTAAAACGGTCACCTCTTACAGTTAAGTGTTGGGACAGAGACTCTGTGCCAAGAACTCTTGACATCTCTTCGTGAAGAGATTATTACGCTTTTGATTTATTTGCCCAAACAGAAAATGTGGCTCTAACGAGTCATTTTAAAATAAATAGTTAGAGCACTAAGAAATCGGCTTACCCTCTTAGATGTATGGTGACATTCCACCTAGCCATGTCTGAATACAAATGGAAACATTCCCTACGGATTATATTTGAGCTGCAGTAACTCTTTTTCCTCCGCTGTGTTTGCTTACTGTAATAGTACCCTCATAAATCAGCTCTTTAAATTATTTCTGCCGCTGCTAATCTGTTTTAGAGAACAATAGAAGTATGAAACAAATCCTTTAAAATGTTTTAATTTTTTAAGACCATAAAATAATGAAAATCCTTAAATACCAAAGTACTGAAGTAGCTGAAGAAGCTGACCAAATGATACCGTTCCTGCACAGTGATCCATGGCCGCTTTCTTTCTGGGGTCATAAATTTAGACATAATTGAAATTGCACAGTAACAACCTCATTTGATTGGAATTAAAGTGAATCCCTTTCCCCAGAAGAACTGTGACTTAATAGACTTGTACTTAACCAAGATCAGGGTTGCATAGTGGGTGAGGATTAATTCTTACTCCTTTTACTGTCTCTCTCAAGAAAAAAATGAAAATGAAAAAGTTTTACAACTTTCTCGTATGTACTGGGTCTATACCACTTTAAACGTGGTAATAACAGCCATGGGGGGAGAGCAGCGGGCCATCGAATCAGTATCTTGACCTCTATAATGCCAAAAGCAGGTGCTAGGGAAGAATATAGAAACAAAGCAATTGCATATGCTGCTTCCTTCCACACACAACCACAAACTCTCCCAGTTCTCGTACTCAAGGACATCCTGAAGCAGGTGTGGTTTCTGTGTATTTGGAAACTGTCAGTAGTGATCTGTGAACCTGGATAGCTTCCTGCTGAATCCTCGTAAAATTCTAGCCTGTGCAGTATTCTGTAGCGAGCCGATTAGCAACCTAGCGAGATACTGTATGAAAAACTACAAGTTTTTTAGTATTTTTTTCAACTTGCCAATTGCTAGCTTATTTGATGCTTTGTAGTCCCTGCCCTTCTGTGTACTCCTCGCTTTGTAAACCTTTTTTATATTCCCCACAGTCATCTCTTGCCAGTCTGAAGAACAGCAGCCTAATGTTTTCCTTTTACAGGAGCTGTTCTGCATCTTGATTATCATGGTTGCTCTTCTCTAAATCATTTTCAGAAAGGGGAGAACAAAACCTGCACACAATATCCAAGGTGTGGGTGCGCAAGTCTATGCACCAGTATCACAGCGTTGACTGCTCTCCGTCCCTCTGTTTAATAATAATTAACACCCGCTTTGCCCTTGTGACAGCTGCTGTGCACCAATTGATGACTGAATCGCTCTAGCTGCTGTAACACCAGTATCTCACTCCTGACTGTCAGTGGTCCAAATTATCGTTGGTTTTTACACTCATCAATGCAGAAAGCAATCTGTTTATTAGTCGTTATTTGTCCAAGTCAAAGCAAGAGCACAATTAGTCTGCTGTGCTAAAAAACTGGTAGTAAGGAAAAATACATGGAAAAGAAAAATCCAGACTCTCCATCACCGAACGATGCATAAGTGAATGGAAACAGTAAATTCTGATCGTTTGGTGATGTAAGATGGCAAAAAATAGTGAAAGAGCTTAATAGTAAAATAAAAATTAATAAACTCTGTTTGCAAGTTTAGAACTAAAATTTTGGGGGGAAGATTATTGTTTATATTTTCTCTGTTCTTGTTAATGGAAGTAAAAGCCGCTACAATGGCTTCTAAGCAAATCTTTTGCAAATATTCACTATTTTTATTTGCTATTGTAGAACTTGTTATATAAAGGACAGCAAGTATTCCTGGGTTGAATATCTGGAGATATTAGGGGCTTTGCCTTGATCTAGAGGAGGATGTATGCCTATCCTCAGACTGCCTTTTATGCTTTGGTACTTAGATGAAAATATGGTTGACATTACAACGATACGGGCTCTAGTTTATGAGCCGTATCAGATTTAGCTACAGTATCTGCTATTTCTTCCCACTGCTCACCCTGACTACTCTCTCACTGCTTGTATGGCAGAAGCAGTAACTCAGAGATATTTCAGAGTCTGATGTTTTTATCTGCTCTATCATCGATTTCAGTTTA